CGCTCGCGCGGGGCATTTGCGGCCCGCGCCGCCGGACGCGCGCGTCGAGTCCGGCCCGCCCTGGCGGCGCTACCTCGACGCGAGCGCAACCGGGCGGTCGGGGCCCGACTAGCTGTTCTGGGGAGAGCCCCTAGAACAACCCAGCCCTGCGCATCCGACCGAAACCATGCGCGTAACAAGACCGGCGGGGATCCCAACGTGGTCGTGAACTCCTGGCGGTGTTCGGCAGACATGACGCAAATTCGACCGCCCACCGAAAAACGAGATCGAGGTTATCGCAGCGATGCGAAACATAATCTCGAAGGCGGCGAACATCTGTTAGCGAAGGCGACGACCTTTCATCGGTGAGCGTTTTTTTCTGGCGAAGTTCGACGTGGCGCGCGGCGGGCAGGGGGCCCCCATGATAATAGAAAATCGGGGTCGCACTCTTCGAGGTGCGGTGATATTGCATCAAAGGATAATTTCTTGAGAACGCTCGCCCAGCGCGCCCGGGGATGGCGTCCGCGAGCCACGCGTCCAAGATGATACTGGGACTCGCACGCGCATCCATCAACCCGTTGTGACAAGAGAGACGCCGCGTGGACAAACGGCCCCCGCCCCATCGCGTGCGGAAATCACACGTGCGCGCGGGCGGCCCAGGTCATCTGGCGGGGCCATCGGGATCCGCAGGGCCCGGTTGCCGGGGAGGGGGTTTGGCGACAGTGCCGAACCTGCAGTCCCACAGGCGCCTGCCACCTCGCTCGCGCGACTTTGGTCGCTGCCTGGGCGGTTGGACGAGGAGCCGGCCGCGGTCGATTTTGATCCCTTGACCCCGCGGGCACCTGCGGGCGGGGGGGGGGCGGGGGGGCGGGGGGCGACGGGCGACGGGGCGGCGGGGGAGGGAGCGGGAGGGGGAAGGGCGCGGGAAGGACTGCCCGATGGCAGGCCGCAGTCGCCGTGAAGCGGGGCGGCTCCAGCGCGGGGGCTTCGTCCGTCCGCGGGCCCTCCCCTCCCGCTGACCCTCCGGATGCCGCCCCCCCCCCCCGTCGTCTTTCTTGTCGCGCTGCCGCCCGCCGTCCACTCCCCCCCTTCCCTCGCCCCCATTTCCTCGGCGCCTTTTCGCTCGACCCCGCGCAGACGGGCGGGCCCGGCGCGGGCAGTGGAGGGGCGATGGGGGGACTGCGGGGCAGATGGCAGGAACTAATAGGATGGGGTGGAGAGGCATCGGCTAGGGTGGGCTCGGGAGGGGGGACTAGGCGAGAGCATGAGAAGACGTGGATGGTGGGATTCTGCGCGCACAGCGGGAGGGGCGGAATATCGCGCGCAACGTGAACTGTCATTGCGTGAACATGGGATTTCATGTCGAAAAAATGAATACGTGAGCAGACAGGCGCCTCTCAGCGCTTCCCGCATGACGGCGCTCCGTGATTCCACACGCCGCACAGATTGCAGCAATGCGGGCGCTTCTCGGGGCAATCCCTGCCGAGCCTCGTGCAACCGCGCTTGCTGTTGAAGGCGACGCAAAACGGCTTCTGGGGTGCCTGCGGCTTCGGCGGTCGGCGAGGAGTCTGGGCAGGGCTCACTGCGGGCGCCGCTTTCCCAGGGCCGCGCCGCCGCTGCCGCTTCGGAGGGTTCTCGGCCCCAAGGCCGTCGTCATCATCCGAACCCGGCTCTGCTTTGGGGCCGACAGCCGCCGCCCGGCGGGCGACGCCGGTGCCCGAGCAGTACAATTGCACCACGCACTGCACGTCCTTGGCATGGTTGATGGCTTCGCCCCAAGGCCAACCAGCGCCATTCAGGGCTTTGGCCTCGGCGCGAATGGTTTTGTCCCTGTCCACCACCCACTGCGCGACGTTCGCCTCGGGGCCGGGATGCTCCATCCACTTGCGGAACGCGAAGTCGTAGTAGGCGTGGGCTTCCTTCAGGTGGCGATTCCTGACCTTCCGGGAGGCCTTCTTCTCTTCGTCGCACAACTGTTTTGAATCCGCGACGATTGCGCCCGCCAGGGCCCAAGAGGTGGCGAGCAGCTTGAGCGCCCAGAACACATGCAGCAAAGCGGAGAGAAACAGGTCCGGCGCCCGGGCGGAGGCGGCCATGGTGAGACCAACGCCTCCTCCCAGGTCGCGCCTGTCCACCTTGCCCTGGGCACGGGCGTCTGCGTCAAACCTGACATTCGACGAGGGGGTGAGCGACACGCTCCGCTGCGCGGACCTAAACCCTCGTTTGCGCGCCCTTCGGGCCGAGAGGGCTGCGACGAGGTGCGCGCTCCCTCCTGACGATAATCCCCATCAACACCAACCCTGTCTTCCCAAAACTGATAGGAGCGAGGACGAGCACGGGTCGCCTAAACCCTTTCGAACAAAACACCCTCCACGATGTGTTGCGCCATAGGTTGCGCCCTTGGCCGCCGAAAATAAAACCATCATTCATCAGTTGCGCCATAGGTTGCGCCCTCGGCTGCCGAACATAAACGGGTCGTTTCTCAGTTGCGCCATAGGTTGCGCCATCGGCCGCCGAACATAAACCCGTCGCCAATCGGTTGCGCCATGGGTTGCGCCCTCGGCGGCCGAGATAAAACCGCCTCCTACCGGTTGCACTATACGTTGCGCCCTCGGCCGCCGAAAATAAACCCATCGCCTAGCGGTTGCGCCGTAGATTGCGCCCTCGGCAGCCGAGAACAAAACCGTCTCCTATCGATTGCGCCATAGGTTGCGCCATCGGCGGCCGAGAATAAAACCGTTTCCTACCGGTGGCGCCATGGCCCTCGGCGGCCGAGAATAAAACCGCCCCCTATTTCTACCTGTTGCGCCGTAGGTTGCGCCCTCGACGGCCGGGAATAAAACCGTCTCCGATCGGTTGCGCCATAGGTTGCGCCCTCGGCCGCAGAAAATAGAACCCTCTCCTATCGGTTGCGCCATAGGTTGCCTTTCGGCAGCCGAAAATAAAACCGTTTCCGATCGGTTGCGCCGTAGGTTGCGCCCTCGGCAGCCGAGGATAAAACCGTTGCGTTACGGGTGCGACCGTCAGTTCAATTCAGTTCAGTTCACCTCGCGAGAAACAAATTCGGGCGACGCCCGAAACATCCGCCGACCATGTGATCGCCGCGTGGCAGAGGCTGTTCGCTTTTTCTCTGCTATCTCTGAGGGTGTCCTGAACGACGCCTCTCCCAGGAAACTCGCGAATCCCGCGGTTTCGTAACATTCCCGGAAGACGTCGAGCCCTAGGGAAGCCCCTCCCCTTTCATCCCTTCCCGCCAGGAGGCTCCCTCGGAGGGGAGGGGGGGCCGGCCCTGATCGCGGCCCCGGTTCCGGCTCCGGCCCCGGTTCCAGCCCCAGACAGGCCCTGGCCCAAATCCCGCGAACCCCTCGGTTCCACAAAATTCCAGAAAGACGTCGACGGGAACCCTTTCCCTTTCATCCCTTCCCGCCAGGAACGGGGGGCCCCGGGAAAGTCCAGGGGAAATCTCAGGTCAGACGCCACCCCCCCGGGCGGTTCGGCGCAGCCCCGGCCCCGGCGGGTCCCGGCCCTCGGCTCCCGGCCCCGGCTCCGGTTCCGGCCCCGGTTCCAGCCCCATCCCCAGCCTGCGGCCCCGACCCCGCCCAGGCTCCGCCACGGCCCCGCGCCCCATTCCCGGCCCCGGCCCCATGTGTCCGATCCCGCCAGCCCTCCCCGCCCCGCTCCCACTTTTGGCCCCGGCCCCGCTCTCCGATCCCGCCGGCTCTGCCCCCCGGGCCCTTCCCGGCCTCGGCCGCAGTTGGTCCCAGCCCCGGTCCCGGCTCTCGTTTCCGGCTGGCCCTGGCCCCGACTGCAGCTGGTCCCGCCCCAACCCCGGCCCCTGCCAGTCCAGCCCCAATCCCGTCTCCGGTTCCGGCCCCGGCCTCGGCCTCGGCCGGTCGCGGGGGGCCCCGGCCCCGGCCCGTCCCCGGCCCTGGCCCCGGTCCCGGCCCCCCGGCCCTGGCAGACCCCGGCCTCTGTCCCGGCCCTGCGCGGCCCCCCTGGCCGTGGCCCTGGCTCCTGGCCCACTCCGGCCCGGCCGCGGCCCGGAACATCCTCGCCATTATCTCCTTCCTTCTCCTCCTCATGATCGCCACGCTCTACTCGCCTCTGCCCTTCCTTCGTGCCCCCCTCCACCTGTACATGCGACCCTGCTCGCCTCACTCTCCTCCTATTCATTCCCCCCCCGTGCTCCTACTCCTTCTTATCCACCTTTTCCTCCTGTCCCTCTCCTCATCTTCCTCCCCATGCTCCGCGCCTCCCTCCCGAACTTCAGGGTCGGCGGCACCCGCCGTAAGGCCTTTGCAATCGTATCCAAACTATTCTTTGATTATTTCGAATATTCCTCCTGTAGGGGGAAATGCCCGACTTGAACCTATCAAGTGGGGATTTATGACTGTCCTTTCGGGTTTATCGGGAACTGTCCCCACCGAGGAGGGTGGGCCTGTGCGGGCGAGACACCACGGCCTAGTGGCAGTGGGGACAGGTCAGGGTCGGGAATTGTTTGATAGCGTGTCGCCCGGGCAGCCCAGGCGACACGCTGTGCCCTGCGAGTGGATAGCGTGTCGCACCGCTCCGCGGGACGGGAATCGGTAGCGACATCCGAACCCTACCCCCTCCGACCATCGATTCCCCCGAATCGATGGGAGGAATCGATGGGAGGCGGGGGTAAGGTTCGGATTCCGCCGTGTGTTCCACGGATTTCGAACCCTACCCCAGCCGCGCATCGAGATGCCCGAATCGTTGATCGAAGGTAGCGTTCAGATTTCGCCGCCGGGGAAAGCTCGGAAAGGCTTGGGACGTTGAGGCTCGGTGACCAGGAAGTGGACAGCGTGGTCGCGCCGAAGCGTGGCGGACCAGAACCGGCGGCGCGGCGCACTGCGCAAAAGCTCCCGACCGTAGGCGATGTTAAGCAGAAGAGGAGGCGGAGGAGGAGGAGGAGGAGGAGGAGGAGGAGGAGGAGGAGGAGAAGGAGGAGCCAGGAGGAGCCAGGAGGAGGAGCAGCCAGGAGGGAGGGCCGGCGAGTCCAAGAAGCCCGTCAGCATCTCCGTGGCCGTTCCCGCCGCGATGGCGTTCACCTGCTCGAGCGCCTCCGCGGCCTCCTTGAAGGGCGACCACGCCTCGGCCCGGCTGGCCAAGGGGACGCCCAGAACCCTCGCACGCCGCGGCTGCCGCCACGGCTGCTCGCCGTCGCCGTCAGCGCTGCCGCCCGCCATCCTCCTGACCGCGCACGCTCACTCAAGATGGCTTCCATCATGCCCGGTGGCAACTCACGGGAGACTCCCATGCCAGCTTGCTGGCTCCCGTGCGTCGGCGCTGGCCGACGCTGGCCGACGCTCATCGACGCTACATCGACGCTTGCCCATCAGTTACCAGACGCGGGGCGCACGCTGGTGCACTCCAACGACGGAATTGCGAGGCAATGCAAGGACCCCACGACTCTGCGGGGGCAGCAAGCGGCCATAACCACATCGAGGACGCACCCTGGAGTATGTTCTGCGCATGTCAGCAAGCGTCAGAACACCGAAATCGGCTTAGTACTGGTTGTGTTCGATCTGGGCGTCCCAGGCGGGCCAACTCGACCACAACCAGAACCCAAATCTGATGCCGAGGTCAGCGGGTTCTTGCCCAAAGGGCCCTCTCGAAGAACCCGCTTGGTTGTGGTTGTGGTTCTTCGTTGTGCCCTAACGGGTCGTACAAACATGTCGATTGTTTTCCACTTGTAATGTATCTCTGTTGTATTGTACTCCTGTTGTCTCATGTTTATTTTTTTGTGTCGTAATATATTGTATTACTGATTCTTCTTTATTCATACCAGGTTCCTGCTGTATTCATGTTGCGCTCCTATGGTGATCCATTGTATGCCTATTGGATTCCTGTGTTGGACTCGTGTTGTTTTTATCTATTGTATTTCGATTGTATGTATATTGCGTTCTTACTGTAGTATTGTGTATTATTCCTGTTGTATTGCGTTGAAGACCGAACCCGCGCCCGAACCCAATTCCGAACCCTTGCACTTCACTAGTCATTTTCAGTAGACACAAGGGCGGCGTGTGACCCACGTATTACTATAACAACGCCTCTACTGGCACGACATTGTTTACACCGCATACAATAAACCGCATAGCTTCCATGGCACAGCTTCCACCACATAGTTGTCACCACATCGTTCCCACCTCCGCAGATGCAGCCACGAGCTGTTTGGCGCCCGCGCTGGCTAACATGGAAAGAACTGTTCACCGAAGAATTATCCTGGCCAACTTCCCGACCACCCCCCGCCAATCACTGCAATGCAACGAAATACGCAACAGAAGCGAACCGGCACGTTAGGACTGAACTTCCTGGCAGCACAGCTGGCAGCGGAATCGGCACCAAGCGGCAGCCTGCTCGCTCGGAGTGAGCCTATCGGCCAGAGCCTCGGCAGTGCAAAGAGCTCTCAGATGCAAACCTTGGCGGCGCGCAGATGGGGGTAGGGGGAGGGGGGCAGGCTTCTTAGAAGGAGGCTGCTTCTCAAAGGCGCCGGCCCTACATTTGTAGACAAGGCCCGCGCCTTCTGAGAAGCAGGGGTGCTTCTAGGAAGCCTTCCCCCCTCCCCCTACCCCCCCCTGCGCGCCGCCGAAAACCGTCGCGTTCCCGAAATGCACGGAAGGGGCGCTGCAGTGACGCGGGAGCGGAGAAGCGGGGGCCCCGCAGCCGGAGGCCCATCAAGAGGAGCACGCTCGCGCTGCAGCGCGTGCCGGAAGCGAGCCCGCACGCTCGGGCTGAGCTCCCCTTGCGCCCTGGCACCGCCGATGGCAGCGGGATGATCGCCGAACGCACACTGGCATACAGTCGGGGCGTTGACCTAAGGAACCCTGAATAAGGAACGAGGCCCCTTTTTTCCAGAAGTTAAACTTCGATTTCCTATCAAAAACCTAAGGAAAGCCTGAGGCAAGCTGTGAAACAAAGAAGGAACGCGGAGCCCCTCCCCAACGAAGAGGGTTCCTTCTTCAGGGCCCCGACTGTACTTCGAATGAACTCCGTGGCGAAATCCTTCCAAGATCGCTGGCGCCGCCCGCACGGTCGAACAACCCGACGTCCTCCTTACCTCCCTCCTCCCTCCTCGTAGGCTCCGTCGTTTCCCTCGTTCCTCCCCGTCCTACAACCCCTCCTTCCTATTATCATCCTCCCCCTCCTCGTACTCCTTCCCTTTGCCCCTTTCGTCCCATGTGCTGACCGAGCCGCGGGGGAGAGCGCTGGATATCTCGCCTGGCGGCCCCCGCAGCCCGCCCGCTACCCCGCGCAGGCCAGGACAACGCAGGAGACGCAGCAACAAGCACAGCAAGGCACACGGACGGTGGCGGACAGAGAGGGCGAGACGTCCGACCCCAATCCGACCCAATCCTCACCCCACACGCGTAGGGACTGTATTCTTTCTTCTCCTCCCCCCTTGGCGCCGCGGCCCTCCCAGAGCGTTCTGGAACGCTCTGGGAGCGTTCCGGAGCGGATTTATCCCCGTCCTAGCCCCGTCCGGTATTCTTCCTCCACCTCCCCCTCCTCCTGTCCTCCTCCTCTTCCTCCTCCTCCTCCTACTCCTCATCCCCCTGCTCCTCCTCCTCCTCCTCCTCCTCCTCCTCCTCCTCCTTCTCCTCCCAGACCGCACCCGTTTGCCTCCGCGGGGGCGGGGCAGCAACGTGGGGCGGGAGGAGGAGCAGAAAAGCAAGGGTGGGAGCTGAGCCCCGCCAAACTATAACCAACCCGTCCGGACGTGCTCGCGTCGCGGACGACAACAAACACGATGGGCGGCTTTTAGCAGTTTTTGGCTCCCAGAAGACCCCGAAGGGCCTCGGGGCCGTCAAAACACGACTCGGGCTCTAAAGCCGGCCCGGGGGCAGTGGTCGGGACTTCCAAGGGCCCCGCACCGAAGAAACCCGAGCGTCGCATGTCCAGGCCTACCGGGCACTACCCGTCTGGCCCTGTGCCCCCGCCGCCCCCCCCCCCCCCCTCCCCTGGAATTCCCACGTTTGGGAGAATGGGGGGGAGCGGTTTCCAGAGGGGGGGGAAAGGAAGAGGAGGAGGAGGAGGAGGAGGATGAGAGGAGGAGAAGGAGAAGGAGAGGATGAGGAGGAGGAGATGGAGAGGGAAGGAGGAGGAGGAGGAGAGGAGGAAGGAGGAGGAGGAGGAAGGAGAGGAGGAGAGGAGGAGGAGGAAGGAGGGGGGGGGGAGGAGGAGGAGGGGGGGAAAAGGGGGGGCACCAAAGACCGCAAATGCTTCTCGGCCGCCGCGTGGAAGCTCGGAACCCGGATGAGGAGTAGAGAGGCTGGCTTGCATGAGGCCGGCGCAGTCCCGAGAATGCATGAGTCCCAGATTTGGGCACGAGTCCATCGTTTTTTGTTTAATAACTTGTGTTAAACCATCGTCCATCGTTTATGTAACTTGTGGCAAACCTGCGCATCGGGCAATGCTCCAAGAGCTGGGGCGCCGCCTGCAAAAAATGCGAGCCCACGCCCCGAGCCCCCCTGCGCGCGCACGGAGAACGAGGGGCGAAGATGAGAAGGATGCTGGGAAAGAGGAAGCTCCAGGAACGATGACGAAGAGAAGCAAAAGGAAAACGAGGATAATAGAACCAGGGGGCAGCAGCAGCGGCGTCCTGATTGAACGTCCACCTGAACAGCCCCTGAAATTGAGCAGCCCTGAGGATGATGATCAAGGGCCTGGCCTTCACTATGAGCTGCGCAAGAGAACTGTTGAACTGCATGGAACAAGGCGGGCGCGCAGGGCTTGAGAGGACGAGCGCAGACAATCGAGAGCCAAGAAATATGATCGGAGAGCCGCATCGTTAGCACGAGGCGCGACGCGCGAGGGGGAACTCGAAGGATCATCGCCCCATCATAGCAGGCAGGAAGCGACGAATAATGGGAGTTGCGATGGGGCACCACACGTAATGAAGAAGGTCAGCACCCCCAGCGCATGCACAGCCGAACTTGCAGTTCTGGGCGCCCTGTCGGAATTCGACGGGTCGCGTTCCAGCTGTTGAAGATCTCCTTCAGAAGAGCGACAAACGCAGAGACGGTACCATCTCGCCTGCTTGCGGGATGGCGAAAAATGCGGGCTGGATGTCGGCAGGAGACATCCGAGGGGCCCACTTTTCCAACCTGGGAGCGATGATCTGTGAGATGAGGTCTTTCTGGAAGTCAGGAGTATAAAACATCTCAAATTTCCTCTGGCGTTTGTCTTGCCGAGGTCCTCGGGGGGGCCCAGCGACGCGCCGGCGCCCCCGGGCATCCCGGAGGGCGCAGGCGAGAGGGGGGCCCTTCGAAAAGGGAAGGCCCGATAGGCGCCCGCGAAATCACCGCCTCCGAGTGCGCTCTCCAGCTGGCCAACGAGCGCGGGGAACAGCGCAGAGTTGCAGGCGGCGCGAAGCTGGGCGGCAAGACCGCAGATCCTGCGATCTCCCGCCCGGCCCTCGAGACCGATCTCCTTCAGCCGGGGGGGGGGCGCGGGCTGGGGCGAGTGTCTGCGGGCGCGCTCGCAGACTTGCAACGCCTCCCCGGCAGCGCGGAGAACGGGGGAGGAGGGCCGGCAACCCTGGGCAGTCTACCCGGCGCAGCAGAGAGCATGCTGGCTGTGAGCAACAAGACCGCTGGTGGAACCGATGTCCATCTTGCTGACCGGAAAGCTTCTCGGGGCGATTTGGGAGGCCGCGGGGGCCCAGGAGAGCCCAGAAGCATTCCTGCCGCGGATCAGCGCGATCTGTTGCCAATTTCATTGAACCTTGGAGCCATCGACCCGAATCCCAGCCCCCAGAAGACGCCCGAGATCGCCTGGAAGAGACACGGGGTGCATCGTAACAATCGCGCACTTACGAATGCTTAAGTGGAGCTCCGAACAAATGCCAAACCTGCAGAGGTGACGAGAGACCTTGGGCAAGCGTAGATGGCGGCTGCGGATGGGCCGAGGTCGTCGGCGAAAGCTGCGATCCGCGGGGGGGGGGGGGGGGCGCCGCCGCGAAATGCGGCGTCGAAGGGGCGGGTCGAGGGCGAGAGCGAAAGGCGCGCCAGAAAGGGGGCAGCCTTGCATGGCCCCGCGCTGGGCAACGTGAGAGATTAGAATGGCGCCGTGGAACGCGACCGCGCAAGTCATGCTTGCGAAGAGCAGGGAGATGGCGGCGATCATGAATTGAGTGAATGTTCTAAGCGGCCAGCACTTTCAATATCCGCATGCGACGGGCAGCGGGAGTAGCAGCGCGAATGCCCAAGCAACGAGCGCCAGACCGAAAGTGCCCTAGGATCGAGTACCAATAGAATCGGTGAGCGTCGACCTCGCGAATGCTATCGATGATCTGGCGACCCTCGATGAAACCCATTTGCGGGGCGCGGAGGCGATCGCGGGCAACTGCGGCAATCGGGCTGGCAATCGTGCGACTAATCCATTTGCTGTCGGAACAGGAATGCGCGAGCGCACGCGCATCCTCAACCTCTGTGAAGACCTGATCTCGATCGACGAGGGTGCCCTCCAGCAAGAGGGCGACCTTCGCCGCGCTGAAATCGGCGGACAAGTGGCTGCCCTCTGGCATATGCTCGTAGAAGTCGAGAAGCGCTTTCTGTTCTATAGGCCCAGCTGCCCTCTCGGCGAGGGGGATAGTCTTGAGACATTCGGAAACCGATCCAGGAAGTTCATCTCAGCGAAGGAAAACGCCGCCACAATGTTCGCCGAGCATTCAGGCGCAGGTGTGGGGTTGGCAAACTGAGCCCCGTCGGCCCCGATGATGCCTTTTCAAACAGACAGCGCGCTGGCCGGCCTCCCAGGCACGGGCCAAACGCCGAATGCGACTGACCTGGCAGTCCGCAGTGCTCGCGTAGATGGCGAAGTCGTTCCGGATAGCACTGTCGCGCCCCTGGAACCCGTCGCTCAGTATGTCCCCAAAGGAGCCTTGGAAGCCGCGCCGTCGAGTCCAAACCAGCCGCTCGGGGTCGCAGCGCTCTTTGAAATTTGGGGGCGCTCGGACAACCATTCCGACGCCTGCGGCGCTGCGGCCTCGATGCGAGCTGGCGAGCTCCAACCGGTATGCAATATTCCCCCGTCTGGAGTCAGCTCGGGGCCGAAGCGTCTCGAGCTTGCGCCGATGCCACGATGCGGCCAGACTAGAACTAATACCGAGTAGCCGCGTCGGCGGGTCATTGGAGGGGCCCTGGCCGTTCAAAAGCCCTTCGAAGATGCTGGCGCACGTAGGGCGGCAAAACAAACGCCACTCGGGGGGGTGACGCCGCCGTTCGGCGCCGAAAGCTCGAGGGCGAAACGAAGGGGAAAGTGGTTGGAAGCGGAAAAAGGTAAGACATATCCCGCGCGGTAGAGCCAAGAAGGTTCAGGTGGAAGAGATCGGCGGCGGAGAGATCTGAGTAAGCGCGGTCGAGCCAGGCGAAGGAAACGGACTGGGAGGGCGAGGTGGCGACGCGGCAGCAAGCGGAGGCGTCTCTGCTCGAGCTCGGCAAACCCGTGAAACATAACCTCATAAGCGCCTTGGGACCGAGACGAAGAGAAACGTCGAGCCCCTGTGGCGACGCGAAGCCTGATATCTCCGAGCTCAAGACAAACGAAGCCCCCCACGACAAGGGGCCAGGCAAAGGGAGCGGGAGGAAGGGCCACTAGAACGCGACGAAAATGACTTCGAACAACTGCATCCGGGAAACCGCGAGCAATGTGCACAGTGACGATCGAAAAGTTACCCGGAAGGGGCCACGGGGATGGAGCAGCGCGATCCGCCCAGGAACTGACTCACACAACTCGAACTCGGCGCATTATCGCTGCAGCTGCTCAGAGACAAAGGTGAGGACGCCTCCACGGTTCGCCGTGCTGGTAAAAGCACCGAAGACCACGGGCTGCTAAAGTCCCAGCGGAGGAGGAGGAGGCCGCAATCACTTCCATGGGTTTCCTAACGGCAGAATATTGCATGACGTCGAACTAGCAAACGTTGTCTGCGATATGAATATCGTATTCTGGCTTGGTTGGAACGACTGGAGCCATCGAGGGCCCAGGGGTTCTGCGTCGAAATCCTGGATATCTCGGGTAAAATATTTGGGAGTGTAGGGGAGGGCTGATAAATCAACATCTATGGGTTCATCTTGCGCCTCCCTCGTGGGAGCGACGGCCTGCGAAAGAGCCTTTTTTTCACAGGTCGCCAAGTACGGTCTTAATCTCGTCGGGAGTGATGCCCCACACATTTAGGGCGAAGAAGAGCAGGTCGAAGGTGAAGAGGTCGCCTGTGCCCTGATTGGCAGACATGCTCTCGTAGACGTCGTAGACGTCGGATCCAGTGACAAGCTGCAACACGCATTTCTGGCCGTTGACCCCGAGCTTGCAGGAGCTGGCTTGGCGAGCTGCTTGACCGACGCATGGATGGAGCCAATACTGATCTTCTGCGCTGTCGTCACCGAGTTCGTCTGGGAACTGTCTTCATCTGCTCAAAGTGAACTTGACGTGTTTTGCGGAACAAAGGGTGTGGGAACGTACCGCCATACTCAGTCCTGGGGTCGCCCTGCTCACGGTCGAAGGTGAGGTCGACCGGGCCTTCAACACGTCTGGCTTTTTGGCCAGCATGAAAAAAACGGGCACCTGCATATGAGTTTGCCGAAAATGCCGAGCTTGCAGTAGTACGGACTTGGTCCTCAACGTTGCTACGACGAGCAGCCTGGGCCTGAATCTCATTGCAAAAGGTAACGGAAACTCGGCGCCCTGAGCCGTCATCTGACCTTGCAGCCCCGCTACGGCAGCTTAGGCCCAACTTCGAAGACTGGCGGCGATGTCGGCGGACTGCTTCTCCATGAGGGCACCCATCATGGTGCGGATCTCATCCGCAATCGACATGGCGGCCCGCTGGGTCGCCGATTGACAACATAATAAATATACGAGAAACGAGGGGCCGCCTGTCGACCGTGTGGCGCTACCTCGAGCCCTCGTCGGCAATGACCAAGTTCCAAGCGCCGACATCGCACGCTTTGAACTTGAGCCAAAATGGTGACGGCAACTGAGAAGCCCTAAGAGGAGGATGACGATGGGGGAGATGACGGTGTATCGGACTTCGATGAGGAGCAGGGCAGAGATTCGGCACGATCGCTTCCAATGGGAAATGTTCGCATACACTTCGCGACGGCGCAAGCTTCCCCTCCAACGACGAGCTCCGCCAACACCCACGGCCAACCCCCAATAACCAGGCCACTCTTCCCGGCCACCCCTTTTCGGCCAACCCTGTGTTGAGAAATGATCTCCATAATCCCGACCTTTCCCGGGGTGCATTCTGACCAAAATATCAAGGCGAATCCATCCGTGTCGGGAATGGAAGGGTAGCGGCATCGGTATCCAACACCAGGTGTTGTCTGAGACCGACCGCCGTCGCTGTTGGGCCAGCGGCCTTCTGGTTCCAAATGGACGAATCCCGCGGCGGCACCGACACCGAGTCCTGTTCAGACTGGGCGGGGAATGCTGTCGGTCTCTGTCCCGTCCGCGGTCATCCTCCCCCTGCCTGCCGCGCCAGGCTTCCTCTCGGAGAGCCGCTCGTCCGAAAGGAGCGGAAGGGAGGACCACATAGGAGGAGGAGGAGGAGAAGGAGGAGGAGGAGGAGGAGGAGGAGGAGGAGGAGGAGGAGGAGGAGGAGGGAGGAGGAGAAGAAAGGACCCGAGGCCCAGGCGTGGAGCCCCACGATCTTCCCGATCTTCTTCACGTCCTGCAGGGACTCCTGCACCTCCTGGCGTGCGGCGGCGTGCGGGTGGCCAGGCCGGGCCGCCGCCGGCCGCGCCACCCGCCTGGAACCTCGTCCTCGGCGCAGGCCTGCTGCCAGAGCTCGGACAAGGCATGCTCCCCCAGGGGCGGCCAAGAGAACCCCAAGCAGACAATGACCCCCCCAAACACCAGACGTTTTGGACAGTTTTTCGTCGTCGCGTTCGTCGTCGTCGTCGTCGTCGTCGTCGTCGTCGTCGTCGTCGTCGTCGTCGTCCCAGGGTCGGCGGTCGGCGGCACATGCGCGATACAACGACTGATACCAGAAACGTGGGTTTCAGGGGCCAGCGCAGATCCAAAAGATCCGAGCGAACCTCCGACACATTATGCGTATGTTTATGTTTACGTTTATGTTTATGTTATATATATGTGTGTGTGTGTGTGTGTGTAGCTCCGATCTTTGACCAGTTCGACCATGGAGGCGTCTTCTTCTGATTAGTTATGGAGGCTGGCAAAGTTCGGGCACGGCGGAACTCTCCATGACCCCCGGACGAGCGCAGGCCTGTGAGCCCCCCCGGCTATGTCAGCCACAGTCGTGCACCGCGCCCCGCGGTGCAGGACGCGCGGCCACCTCCGCGCCCTCGTGAGCCCGCCGCGGAGAAGGGGTGCCCGGCAGATCTGCGGTCCGGGCAGCGACGCGCGAAGCGCGATCACCTTCGCCCCCCTGGGGCCGACCTCGGTGGCAAGCTCCCGGACTCCCTCCGAGAAGCCTCGAGAGGAGGTGCCTTCAGTGTCGCCCCGTGTCCGAGAGGCTCGCCGCGGCCGCAGCTTCAGCAAGGCCCCCGCTGGAGAGGTGGGATCCACCCCCGTGCCCACCACGGATTGTTGGCTGCTCCTGCTCCTCCTTCTTCCCCACCATCAGTAGGGGGGGGGAGGGGCTCCTCCTCCTCCTCCTCCTCCTCCTCCTCCTCCTCCTCCTCGTGGTGCCACACAATGGCGCCAGAGAAGGAAGGAACAGGTCTTTCTGGCCACGGCGAGGCCCCGCTACGAGTACGCGCCCCGAACGTAGACCTACAGGACACGGCCCGAACACCGGACACCGCCGGAACCCGACGTGGGCCTTGCCTCAGCGTCTCGACTGCACGAGGCCGGTGCCGAACCAGCTGCCAGACGGACACAGGGCACAGCACCGGCCAGAGTGGGACTCGTGCGTGAGGATGTGCCCCCCCCTCCTCGACCCCGCACGTCGTGGTGTCTCCACCCTGGGCTGTAGCCGCCATGGGTCGCCCAGCGTTTCTCGACCAACGATGGCCAGCTCATGCCGACAGAAAGGACCCGAACTGCTTCAGACCAAACCGACTTACTTGACGCGGGTACGCACATGCCTGTGTGTATACGTTCCGCCGCATTCCTCGATGAGTTTCGAAGTGGGCGCGAAGCTGAGTGTGAGTGGTATTGGATACGAGCTGGTCTGAGTGCGAATGGATGAGCATGGGTCGAGAATCATACATGGGCCAGGATGCGAATGGGTCAAAGTCGAACGGGCCCGTGAATCACCCCTGGTCGATTCTCCCTTGGGATACCCATCCGAATGTCATGACTGCACCGTTGCGGTGCTTATTAAGATCTACTCGTCTGCTTAGTCAAACATGGAATTGCGCCCGAGAAGGCCCCCGACGATCTCGGCGCGAACGGGCCCGTTCAACACCCTCGTCGACACGCCCTTGAGAAGTCCAGTCATGCTGCTACAGCGCGGTGGAACTGGGGCTCTGAGAAGGAACCCGCCTACTGAGCCAACGTGGGCGTTTCGCCTGACACTTCCCAGCAATCTGACTGCGACGCTGGCAATTCTCATCCCGGCAGTCGTCGCCGATCCAATCATTGCGATACTCCATTCTCTGTTACTCCCTCCTTACGCTGCCCTTCAGGCGCAACGTTTGCGATAAGTCACAGGAAACATGCCCTCCCACAGCACATGCTAGTCTGGAAATATGCTGGACCTCAATGGTAAAATACGTGCCGCCAAACGTACACTGGTACCTGCGGAGCACCAGACTCCGACATGGAGCAGTTTGCGGCTCAGCTATAGAAGCGACTGGGCGCGCACGCAAGGGCCCGATTGAAGTCCCAACACTGAATGGCTCTTTTGACATTGCGCTGGCACTCACAGGGGCTGAACTCAATGCCCAGAAGGCTACGCTCGATGACGTTGCACTTCCGATTCGCTGGGTCGAGCAGATACCAAGTCTGAGCTAAGACAAACAGGTAGAGACAGCTGGCAGAACAAATTATGCAACATGTGCTCGGAACAAGATGCCTGTCGTAGTGTGCCCGCGTACTGGCTGCGCCACCTCCCCACCTCTGAATGGGGGGTTAACGACTGGGGGGGAATGGTATAGAGAGGGGGCACTTCGACCTGGAATCGGATATACGTATTGCCGATAGATCGGCCCAAGCCCCCGATCGTGCATCCGGACGTCGCTGGGCAGGTTGGCGTTAGCGGGCCCCTGTCGGCGATCAACCGGCGATTGGGGGTCGATGCGTCCTCCATACGCCTATCCCCCCCAACCGTTGCCCCTGAGGTTGACCCACCCGGACCCCCGACGTCTTGTTTTTTTCATGACGTCGACCCCGAGAGGCCTCGACCCACTCCTCGGGACCGGCTCTTCATCCCGAGCTTTTCGTCGGCCCCGAGGACTGACGAGGGCCCCCATGGGGCCGAAAACCGCGAAAAGCCTTGCGTCGCGATGTTTTCCCGGCTCGGTTGACAAAAGAAAGATCGGTGTGAACATGTTTGGCGCTCCGCGCGGTTTTCTCGGATCTGCGCTGGACCCCCCTCCCTGGCGCGCCGCGCGCTCCAGGGGCGGCGCTGGAGGCGCCGCCAGGGGGGCCCAGCGCGGATCCAAGAAATCCGAGCGGAGTGCAAACAGTTGACGGGTGCAGTCAAAAACCCTAATAAGGACGCGCGGTAAAGACGCAAGACCCTTGGAAGCCGAAGTTGGGATTTCTGGAGCGGCGGACGACGAAAACCTCAAGGACGCAAGAGCAAGAAAGAGCAAGGACGCAAGGGTACCCTGAGCAAAGTCGCGCGTCCTTATTCGGGTTTTTGCCGGGTGTGCAAGTTTTTCTCCTTCGACATCGAGGGGGTCGGGACACCTCCGACCGGCTAACACAGATCGGGCGCAGCCGACGCACTTCATGGCGAGCCTTTCCGCGACGAACACCCCGTGCCTGGCCATCGCTCGGACGTCCATTCCCTGTGTTTTTTTCGGTGTCGTGCGTGGTTTTTACGCAGGATGATCCAGGATGCTCCTTAATCATCCCCGCAGAGAAAAAGTGCACACATCCGAGCGATACCAAGGTGCCCTCGAGGCCGAGAAGCATCGGCGATGCACCGGCGACGCATCGCTGACGTGGGCGTTGCATCGGCGACGTCGACGTGAAGCAGATCGGGCTCCTCATCGAGCCGCATCGGCGATGCATCCGCGAGGCGGCGCGACCCTCCGACCCCGGCTTCTCGGACCCCATCTGCGAGGCCTGGAGGCTCGATGGGGGTCTGGGCCCAAGACCGCCCCATGACGGCCCCTAAGGGGGCCCGAAGACGGCCCAACGGGCGCCGAAGACGGCCCCAACAGGGCCCGAAGGCGGCCCCAGCAGGGGGCCCCACGATGGGGACCCCGAGCGGACATCTCGAGCCCTCGGCCCGGGGGGCCCCCCCAGGCCCCCCATGGGGCCCCGAGAGGCCTGGACTGGCCGGCGGGGACCGGGCGCGGCCCCGGCGCGGCCCCGCGCCCTCGCGGCCGAGAAAAGCCGCCCTCCGGCCGCCCGCCCGCGTCTTTGGGGTCCAGGACGAGGCGGTCGTCACGGCTGCCGGGCGGGTGCTGCAGCCGACCCCCACCACAGGGACGCGCGGCGCGGCTGCCTCGGCGATGCGGCGCGGTCCTCCGACCCCCTAACGGATCCTGGAAACCCTGAACCCAAACAGGCTGTCCTCTCTTGGGGCGCATGTGTAACTTCCGCCGCCTTCCGCCGCCCTTCCGCAGGCTTCCGCCGGCGAAGGCGGCCTCGTCTTGCTTCCGCTGACATTCCGCCGCCTGCCGCCGAGGAAGAGATGACAACTCCTTCGATCCTCGAAGGCGAGGTCCTTTTTGGAACGCCTCATCTGCTCTGGCCCCATCCGGGAGGCCAGAATCGACAAAGTGAGAACGTTAGGCTGGGCAGGACGCGAGACCAGGGAGCGAGTAGTGGCTGGCCGAGGCAAGGGGGAGGCAAGGAGCACCTGCTCGGTCGTTCCAGCCTCCTCGAACTCCTTCTTCAGGAAGAGCGCATAGCCGGCAGCACTCTCATACAACAGATACAGGGATTGGGACATTCCTGGCGCGACGGGTGCGCGGCACGGGCTGCTGAAAACTCGCCTGGTCGCCGCCGTGGCCGTCTCGAGGCCGAGCATCCAGTTCGAGGCACCGCGCGGGGACCATCTCCCTCTCCCCTTCCCTCCCCTCTCTCTATCTCTCTTTCTTTATTTACTTGTTTGTTGTTTCTCTCTCTCTCTGTCTCTCTCCTCTCTCTCTGTCTCTCTCCTCTCTCTCTCTCTCCCCCAAATGGAATCGGAATCGGGGAGACGTACGACACGAGTCTGGGGGAATCGAACCTGCCCGCGACGGGACGGTCAAACAAATGACGAGACCAAAAATCTGAGATAGAAACTAAAACCGTCTAAATGTATGCTCGGACCGTCAGAATGCGGCGGCAAACCCGAGTTCCCGAAAACTCGAATCTTCAATTCCCGATGAGACGAACAAGAGGATGAACCAAGACATCCTTGACACCTCTCTCTCGCCCCGAAGACATGAAAGAACACGCGACACGACCTGATACGATGTCCCGGTGGGGGGAGCTCTCCGTTCTGCTTCGATCTCATCCGCGAACCTCCAATTCCAGGAACGCCTTATACTGTAGCGGGCGTCAGGGCCATCGGGCACGAGGCCAGCACACCACTCCAAAACCCTCCCCTGGTAACCCAGGTGTAGCCGTCGGGGTCCAGGGTTAAGTCGGGCGTCTCCCCCTACAGGGGGATTTTCGACGAACAAAAATCCGCCGATCCGGCGTGTGAGTTCCAAGGAGTCTCAGCTACAGCCTCGAGGCTGAGCCTCAGCCTCTGGGGGGGTTGCCGGGGTGGCTCTGCCGGGGAAGGGGGGGTGGGGGGGGGGGGTGCGAGTTTCCGGCGGATGCGTTTTTTGACACCCCTCACAAGGATCGTGGCCTCCGAGGGGGTTCCGAACTCGAGTACCACCCCTCCCGCACCAAGAGGCTCCGAGGAGGCCTCCAAGAGGCCCCAAGGGGCGCAGAAGAGGCCCCCAAGAAGCCCCAAGAGGCTCCCAAGAGACCCCCAAGAGGCCCTCTAGTGGCCCCAAGAGGCCCAAGAGGCCCCCAAGAAGCCCCAAGAGGCGCCCAAGAGGCCCCCAGAAGTCCCCGCCAACCACGAGATCCCAACCAGCATCCATGAGGCCTCTGACCCACCACCCACGCACGGTGGCGGGATAGGCCGACGGCCACTGGATAAATGCTGAGTGAGAGGAGGGGCGGGAAAAAGAGAGGAGGGACGAGGGCGAAGAAGGATCACATCAGTCGGAGCGCCCCGGATCGGCGGCACTGGCCGAATGCCACTGCAATACTCAACAAGTATTCGAAAATTGTGAAAAATGATCAAAAAATAGTCCCCAGACTATTTTTGCTCCTATTCTTGAATCTTCCCTCTGTGGAGGGACAGGCCCGACTTTAAGTCCAGGGCCAGGCTGCGCCCCGTCGTGGCGCCCTTTCGGTCCCAAGGTGGGTCAGGGCGGCCGTCGGCGGCCTCGGGAAGGCGCCACGAGACACCCCGAGACCCCCCCGAGACCTGCCCAGGACAGCGCAGGAGCTCCTCCCGGCGCTTCCGAGGCTGCCTATCACGCCCTACCGTCGGGGCGTTGACCTAAAGAACCCTAAATAAGGAACGAGGCCCCTTTTTCCATAAGTTAACCTTCGATTCCCCATCGGAAACCTAAGGAAAACCTAAGGCAAGCTGCGAAACAATGAAGGAACACGGAGCCCCTCCCCAACGAAAAGGGTTCCTTGTTTAGCGCCCCGACTGTATGACGGTTCCAAGAGGCCTACCAAAAGGCCCCAGCCATGCCAATCACCTGGGAAACACACAAAAATTGAACACACCCTCTTATGGGCTCCTCAATATCGTCCAAGACGGCCCACGAGGCCCCCCCAGAGATCCCAAGACGACCCCAAGAGGACTTCACGACTGCCCAAGAGTGCCCCAAGATGGTGCAAGGGGCAACCAAGACGGCCCAAGAGGGCTCCAAGACGAGACCCCGATGGGGCCCGCGAGGGGGGAGTCGAACTGACTTTTCGGGCCCTCCGCCCCAAGAGGACAGCCGAGGCCTCCAGCAAGCCCCAAAGGAGCCTCCAAGAGGCCCTTCAGAGGGCCCCAAGATGCCAGGAAGACGCTTCGCGAGGCCCGCAATGGGCCCCAAGGGGCCCCTCAAGGCACCCCAAGAGACTTCGAGACTGCTTCCACGACCGCCCCCGCGGGGCACCTCGCAGCTCGATTCCGGGGCGCAAATTGCACGCTTGAGCTAAGCTGGGGGGCCACGGCTGCCCAGGCGCTGGCTCGTATATCGGATCGTTCCAGATCCACCCTGGATGCCCAACCAGGTTCACTTCGAATGCTTCTGAGATCGTACTCCACCCTATCTTGGAAAGATTGAGAAGGGGTAGGATCAGAAATCCAATAATGATAGCAGGAAGAAGAAGAAGGTTGAGGCTGAGGTAGATGATGAGAACGATTCGAAGGAAGACGTCTGGAAATGCCAGGTCGTCGTCCAAGGTTATGCCGGCACGCTTGAGCTAATCTTGGGTGTCACCTCTGCCCCAGCGCTGGCTCCTAGGATCGGTTCAAGACGGCCTCAAGACGGCTCAAGAGGGCACCGAGACGGCCCTGGATGCCCCCCAAGAGGGCCCGAGATGCACCAAGAGGGCCCCAAAAGGCCCCGCAGAGGCCGGGACCATCAGCCGCTCTCGAAGGTGCCCCCACGACGCCCCACATACGCCTCAAGAAACCCTCCAGAGGCCCCCCAGAGACCTTCAAACGTCTTCCAGTAGGGCCCTAGAGGCTTCCCAAGAGCCCCCATGAACCTCCTTCAAGATCTGAGTCCCCCTCGATCCTCGATCCATCCCTCTTCCCCCTTCCCTCACCCGTCCCTCCCGTTTCCCTTTTTCCCTCTCGGTGGTTTTCGCGGCCATGAATCGAGCCTCTGATGGCCGTTCGGAACGATTCGGACCAGGAGGAGGGAGGAGGGCAAGAAGAGGCCCAGGACTGGTTCACCTGCGTTTCATCACAGCGCCAAGGCCTGCGCTAGAACCTAAGCGCGCGCGAAACGCAAGAGAGGTTTGAGTCGCAACGTACCAAGACCATACCATGCTAGGCAAAATCCAGAGCTGTCCATACCAGCCGGACCCTAAGGTAGACTGGAAGAATTAGAGTCAAAGGACAGCATGAGCGCGCAGGGAAGCATGACAGTCATTCGCGGACGCATCGCGAGCGCACACTCGCTGGCAACTAGAGGATGGCCTGTCCTAGAGCACAGGGAGCCGACAACGCAGCCACCTGTGCCTCGATGGCTTGAGCAAGGCAATGGCGTCCGCGCAGACAAAGGATGACACGCGCGATACCCGCCACGATTCGACGCGCGGTGCGGACGAGGCAGTTCGACACAACCGAAAATGACGCATTACAGAGAAGCTGCATCAGATTAGCAACTCCGCAACATGCAAGACAATGCCCTGAACAATGTGGGGTGGTTGGGGTGGCAGGGGGGAGGGGGGGCAAGACGAAGCCGCCCGTCAGGCGATACAAGAAATGCGGGCCCGAGACGCACCAAGAGAGCCCCAAGAGAGGCCCTGCAGAGGCCGGAACCACTAGCCGGCCTCGAATGGGCCCCCACGACGACCCACATTCGCCCGAATCCCCCAGAAGCCCCAATAAACTTTCAAACGGCTTCCAGTAGGGCTTCCCAAGAGCCTCCAATGAACCTCCTTGAAGATCTGAGTCCCCCTCAATCCTCGATCCCTCCCTCTTCCCCCCTCCCTCACCTGTCCCTCCCCTCCCGCCTCTTTCGCGTGCTGTTTTTTGGTCACACACGCACCGGGTTTCAAGCATTGTGTGTCTCCTTGTGGTGTTTTGCAGTCCGATGGTGCTCGGTGCTTCAAAAAAGGTGCTCCCGCTGCACCGTGGGCCTCGATTTCGGATCGGCGCTTGGCCCCCGTCGTTCAGAGTGGCGTTCTCGCCCCAACGAGGGCCATGCTTCTGGATCTGGGTCTCGCTCCACTGTTGTCGCCCCCCTCGTTTCCCCTCCTCTGCCTTTCCCTGGTCCTCCTGTGGATCCCGATGCTTCCGCTGCAGTTCCTGCTGCTGCTGCTGCTGCTGCTGCTGCTGCTGCTGCTCGTCTCACCCCAGCGCGGACTGCTTTTCTGAATCCGAGCCTTTCTTCATCGCTGCCGCCCCCTCAGTTACCCCCCTCCGCCTTCCCCTGGTTGTCCTGTTGATCCCGATACTTCCGCTTCAGTTGCTGCTGCTGCTGCTGCTGCTGTTCGTCCCCGTCCTTTTGCTCCCGCTCTGGGGGAGCAGAACATCTGCACCTACCCCGCCGTATGGCCCCCATGTACTCCTGCATCTGGTAATGCCAGTGCATGACCCTAAGGCAGAGGGATGGATCCATGGATTCCATTGTCAACGTGGCCCTGTCCGCTCCAGAAGCCGCGCCCAGCGCGCCCGTGGAACCGCCGATGCTCAGGAATTCCGCCCGAGAGCAGGAGGATGAGCGGCTCCTCCTCCTGCTCACCCGCCACCTCCTCCTCCTCCTCCTCCTCCTCCTCCTCCTCCTCCTCCTCCGCCTCCGCCTCCTCCTCCTCCTGCTCCTCCTCCCGTGCACGCAGCCCCCCTTCATCCGACTTCGCACCGCACGGTGCGATCTCCGCGGGAGCCGCAGGTCGGCCATGGCACGCGCCCGCGGATCCAGCAGACAGCACTGCCGTGCAAAGGGATGGGAGGAAGGGACGGGATGTCAGACGAGGCGCGAGCGCACCTAGCTTGCCCCTTCCCCTCTCCCTATCTCGCCCTGGTGTTTTTTCTCCAGGAACATGGATCGAGACGATTCGAAAGTACGGGGGAGGAGGACAGGGGGAGGCTCAGGACTGGCGCACCTGCGCTTCATCACAGCGCCAAGGACTGCGCTAAAATCCAGACGCGCGCGAGGTGCGCGCAAGGCTCTAGTCGCAATGTGTACCAAGACCATACCGTAGTGGGCAACGCCCAGAGCTCTCCATACCAGACCCTGAAGCAAACTGAGAGAGTCATACACGGAAGACAGCGTAAGCGCGCAAGGAGCATGGCAGTCCTTCACGGGCGCCTGCCGAGCGCACCTTTGCTGGCAACTAACGGATGGCCGGCCCTAGAGCACAGGGGGCCGACGATGCAGCCACCTGTGCCTCAATGGCTTGAGCAAGGCAGTGGCGTCCGCACAGACAAACGATGTCACGCGCGGCACCCACAACGATTCGACGCGCGGTGCGGACGACACAACTCGACACAACCGAAAACGACGATTTACACATGAAGCTGTCTCTGATGAACACACTCGCAACATGTAACACAATAATCTAAGCAATGTGGGTGAGGTGGGGTAGAAGGAAGGCAAGACGGAGCCGCCCGTCAGGCGATCCACAACGCGCCCCCCCCTTCCCCCACCCACGCAAGATCACTCCTCCTCCTCCTCCTCCTCCTCCTCCTCCTCCTCCTCCTCCTCCTCCCCCTCCTCCTCTCTCTTCTCTCCTCCTCTCTCTTCTCTCTTCTCTCCTGCTCCTCCTCCTCCTCCTCCTCCTCCTCCTCCTCCTCCTATTCCTCCTCCTCCTCCCTCCTCCTCCTCTTCCTCCGCCTCCTCCTCCTCCTCCTCCTCCTCCCTCCTCCTCCTCCTCTCCTCTCCTCCTCATTCCTCATCCTCCTCCTCTTCTTCCTCCTCCTGTTCCTCCTCCTCCTCCTCCTCATCCTCTTCCTCCTCCTCCTCCTTTTCCCTCCTCCTGTTTCCTCTCCTCCCCTCCTCCTCCTCCTCCTCCTCCTCCTCCTCCTCCTCCCCTCTCATCTCTCCACCTCCCCCTCCTCCGCCTCCTCTTCCTCCTTCTATTCCTCATCCTCTCCTCCTTTCCCCTCCTCCTCCTCCTCTCCCTCCTCCTCCTAATTCCTCCTCCTCCTGCGCCTCCTCTTCCTCCTTCTCCTCCATCTCTCCTCCTCTCTCCTCCTCTCTCCTCTTCCCTCCCTTCTCCTCCTCCTCCTCCTCCTCCAGCACCTCCTCCTCCTCCTCCTCCTCCTCCTCCTCCTCTCTTCCTCCTCCTCCTCCTCTCCTCCCTCCTCCTCCTCCTCCTCCGCCTCCGCCTCCTCCTCTCCTCCTCCTCCTCCTCCTCCTCCTCCTCCTCCTCCTCCTCCTCCTCCTCCTCCTCCTCCTCCTCCTCCTCCTCCTCCTCCTCCTCCTCCTCCTCCTCCTCCTCCTCCCCCCGCGACCCTTGCAGCGGTCGCTCTGGCGGCTCTTGCTTCACTTCGCCAGGGCCACTCGTCCACGCTCTGGCCGCAGAAACAGCGGCCTCTCGAACCATTCGCCGGCCGTGCAGGCGGGGGGGGGGGGCAACGAAACGCACAGCCAGTGCACTCTTCCTCGTCCTCGTACTTGGTTTCCTCCTCCTCCTCCCCATCCTCCTCCTACTCCTTCCTCCTCCTCCTCCTCCTCCTCCTCCCCTCCTCCTCTCTCTCCTCTCTCCTCTCTCCTCTCTCTTTCATCTCTCCTCTCTCTCCTCTCTCCTCTCTCCTCTCTCCTCTCTCTCCTCTCTCCTCTCTCTCTCTCTCCTCTCTCTCTCTCTCTCCTCTCTCCTCTCTCCTCCTCTGTCTCCTCTCTCTCTCTCTCCTCTCTCCTCTCTCTCCTTCCTCCCTCTCCTCTCGTCCTCTCTCCTCTCTCCTCTCTTCCTCTCCCTCCCTCCCCCCTCCTCTCCTCCTCCTCCTCCTCCTCCTCCTCCTCCTCCTCCTCCTCCTCCTCCTCCTCCTCCTCCTCCTCCTCCTCCTCCTCCTCCTCCTCCTCCTCCTCCTCCTCCTCCTCCTCCTCCTCCTCCTCCTCCTCCTACTCCTCTCTGCTCCTACTCCTCCATCTCTCCTCCTCTCTCTCTCTCCTCTCTCCTCCTCCTCCTCCTCCTCCTCCTCCTCCTCCTCCTCCTCCGCCTCCGCCTCTCTCTCCTCCTCCTCCTCCTCCTCCTCCTCCTCCTCCTCCTCCTCCTCCTCCGCCTCTCTCCTCCTCCTCCTCCGCCTCTCTCCTCCTCCTCCTCTTCCTCCTCCTCCTCCTCCTCATCATCATCATCATCATCATCATCATCATCCTCCTCTTCCTTTCCTCCTCCTCCCCCCGCGACCCCCCGCGGCGGTCGCTCTGGCGGCTCTTGCTTCACTTCGCGCAGGCCGCTCGTCCTCTGGCCGCAGAAACAGCGGCCTTGCTCGAACCATTCGCCGGCCGTGCAAGCGGGGAGGGCCCAACGATACGCACAGCCAGTGCACTCTTCCTCGTCCTCCTCCTCCTCCTCCTCCTCCTCCTCCTCCTCGTCCCCCTCCTCCTCCTCCTCCAACTCCTCCTCCTCCTCCTCCTCCTCCTCCTCCTCCTCGTCCCCCTCCTCCTCCTCCTCCTCGTCCTCCTCCTCCTCTTCCTCCTCCTCCTCCTCCTCGCAGGGTGTGAGGGGGGGAGGAGTGCACTGGGCAGGCATGCCCACGTGCGGGCCCCTGGAGCCCCAGCCCCGCGGCAGACAGAGTCCTGCAGCCGAGCCGTGCAGCCAAATGCAGCACACAACGGCACAGGGAGCTGTACGGAGAGTGGGAATGAGGGGGCAGACGAGATCGGTAATTTTTGCGTGGCGCCGTGGCCACACGAGGGCAAACAGGACAAAGCTGGTCGACGGAATCTATACGGATACAAGTCGGAGCCGCACCAACTGCGATGCTATGGAATGTTGTGAACGAGCGCGTTCTGTAGACGCTGGGATGGGGTGGGTGGGTCGAACCAGGCCCCCCCCCTGCCTCAAAGGAGGGGTGGTGGTGGTCCGGACTCGGGAGCACTCCCTAGTGGCAACCGACGACGGCGAGCGCCGGCGCTGGCGTCGGCGGGCAACGACGACGACGATCGAGCCTCAGTAGGATGCTAGTAAGGCTGGATCGAGCCCGAAGAAGATCCGATTAGAGCGGGGTCGGGTCCCACTGGGATGCAATAAAAGCTGGATCTAGCTGTAGTAGGATTTTGTTAGACATGAATCGAATCTGACTAGAATTCAAGTCGAGTTGGATCCAGATACGACAGAGTTCTCTTAGAGCTGGCTCGAACCTGGTTAATCTGCTATTGCAGATTAACCGAGGTAAAATCGGATTCATTTTGGAGCTGAAACGAGCCCGAGTCAGATTCAATGAGAGCTGGATCCAGCTATGATCGGATTCGTTTACACTTGGATCGATCCCGACTGGGATGCTTTCAAAGGGACCCGGCCATCGTAGGATTCTATTATGGAATTCTGTCAAGGGGACGGGGGGGGCGGGAGGGCTGGCGATTCGAACCCCCCCTTGCGTGGAAGTGGGGGGGGTCAGTTTAGAAAGGCGACGCGGGTATCCGACCCTCCCCCCCCACGTTCTCCAGGCGCTTCACACTGGTTTCTCTTGGGTGGGAAGCGGCTCCGACGTGTCCAAAGATTTGTCACAGGCAATCGTTCACGAAACGCGTCTCTCTCTGACATTTCACCGTGCAAATCTTGCGGCAGAAGTTGTGGCTCACAGGGGTTCTCTGACTGGGCGACCACCTGCCCATCTGCATCGCCAGACAAAGATGCAGAGGGCCTGCGCACGACCTAAAGACAAAGATGGATGCACAAGTGGGCTGTCGGCGCGGACTACTGCCAACACTTGATTCAAGCGCTCCGAAATGGGGTCGGACCAGATGGATTCGGAGGATCGTACCGCATCACCGATGCATCTGCGACGTCGGGATGGGGAAGAGTCGCGCCGAATCGCACCGAGTCGTGCCACTTGCGACATCTCTACCAGGTCTCGACGGATCGCCGACGCATATGGGATGCGGCGCGATCTTCAGACCCCAATCTGCAGCCGGACCTGGGCCAGAAAAAGCTCCCTCAAGGACATGCGACCCTCTGTCGGTCAAAACAAACCGAACATCTGAGGGTACCCTCCCCAGGATGCACAGCAACATCCAACAACCACGAAGAACACTAGGGTACCCTCCTCCAACCGAGCTCGATCTCATACCTCGGTCCGACTGCACTCCAGCCCCATTTGTGAGGCCTGGGCTAGTGGGAAAAAATTCGCCAGTCTCGCATGCTCCACTTGCCGTGCAGCCCAAGCCCCTGCCCACGGGGCTCGACCCCTGCGGACCAACATGTGCCCCCCGCCACCGAATCTCCGCCTCCCCACATCCGCCCCTCCCCACCTCCACCCATCCACCTCCACTTCCCCTTCGCCCCCGCCCCCTCCGCCCCTCTCACTCTCCACCTCCGCACATCCACCTCCACAACCCCCCCCGCCCCCGCCCTCCGCCCCTCTCACTCTCCACCTCCCCCGCTCCACCTCCGCCGTCCCCCCCCCCCCCAAGGAATCATCCAGAAGGCCCAGAATGAGGCCCCGAAAGCTTGGATGCAGCGGGCCAGAGACGCCATCGCTCCAGGAGCCTCCAGGGCTCATTTTTGTCCAAGGTCAAGGCTGCCCAGAAAGTTCTGAGCCACCAGTCCAGACCAGCACCGCACCAGCGTGGATCCCCCCAGCCGCCCCCCCTCCGCCTCACACCTGCCGCCCCCACCGCCTGCCGCCCCCCCACCTGCCGCGGGAGACGCCGGGCCTTCCCCCGTCGACGCGGCGGACAGCGCCGGGCCAACCCCCCCCCGCGGTGAACAGATCCCCCCACCCCCGCAGTGGAAGAGGACCGGAATGAGGGGCTCTGGTGCAATCTCCTGGCCTGGCGTCAGGTCGGGCATGTCCTCCTACAGGCGGATTGGTGAGGAAAATTAAAGAATAATCCCAAAGTGCCCCAAACATATCCCAGTGCGACCCTACCTAGGAGTTGGAGCCTCTAGGAAAGCAACATTAGTGGATGCTGTGCTGCGCTATGCTATGCTATGCTATGCTATGCTATGCTATGCTATGTTATGCTGCGCAATGCTATGCTGGGCTAGGCTAGGCTATGCTATGCTATGCTGCGCTATGCTATGCTGCGCTATGTTATGCTATGCTATGCTATGCTTTTGATTTACCTTCGCTGTTGCCCTCATTTTTGCCTTTGCTTTTGCTTTTGCTTGGCACCCACGGAGCGCTATGCTATGCTATGCCATGCTATGCCTATGCTATGCTGCGCTATGCTATGCTATGCTGTGCTGTGCTGTGCTAGGCTGTGCTGCGCTGTGCTATGCTAAGCACTGCTATGCTATGCTATGCTGTGCTATGCCACGCTATGCTATGATATGATATGCTATGCTATGCTTGGCTATGCAATGCGATGCTATGCTGTGCTACTGCTGCGCTGCGCTATGCTGCGCTGCGCTAAGCTAAGCTAAGGTAAGCTAAGCTATGTCAAGCTAAGCTAAGCTAAGCTAAGCTAAGATAAGCTAAGCTAAGCTAAGCTAAGCTAAGCTAGACTGGGC